TTGAGGGATACCACGCTGACTTTAATTAAAGTAGTGGCTTTAACTTAGTCCCCACAGGTCCAAAGCACACAGCTCAGTTTGCTCAGTGATGCAGGCAGAAGGGCCGATTCCCCGGAATCCTGCAGCGCTCAGCGGCACACTACGGGCCGGGTTCCTCCTGTTAACCCAGGAGCCTGACTGAGCAGCTCAGTGACCCTGTCTGAAATGAACTAGGTGGGAGGTGTAGCCCAGGGCTGGAGAGTTACCAAGCATGCACAAGGCCCTGGGCTTAAGACCCAATGCTGGGGGTGGTAAGTCTGATAGAAAAGAATTTGCTTCAGAAGGAAAACCACACTAAGAAAAAGAATGCACATGGTTTATAAAACAAGGTAATTTAAATATTAAAGTAAAAGGAAAGCTGGCTTCAGTGAGGCCCCGAGTCCTTTTGTTTCTTGCTTGGGTGGGCCACCTCTACGTCTAAAGAACATTTACCAAGATTCAGCCTACTCAACACCAGCTCAAGTGAGCGCAACTGCTTGCACAAGTTTTCACAGGAACACTGGCCACGAAACAGGGCCACGGCCCACTACACTATAACAACAGGAGGAAAAGACTGTATTAGCGAGGAGTATAGGACTTCATTGTGGGAGTAGTGGGGTCCATACTGCACCCCATGGGTGCATGTGCCAAGCCACGGTCCTGCGGTCTGGCTCATTATATATACCCTGGAAGCTTCCAAAAGTCTCTCAGAGGGACCGCTACATGAGCCCACACTGAATCACCATGTAAAGCGATACCTGAGGGTGGACAGGTCAAGCCTAGGGCAAGCACACTTGCACACCCTAGCTCTCTCAGGCAGGAGACCTGGAAGCTGGGACACTCCCAAAGCAAGGTGCGTGCCTAGATCTCGGTTTCCAGGTAATGTTCAGAATCAATGAAAGGAACCAGGTGCAGCTGACTTCAGGCTCTGGGCAGGGAGACCCTGCTCTCCCAGAGTACGTGTAGAAAGTGCTCCCAGCCAAAGGGCCAAGCATGCTCTGGGAACACAGGAGGCAGCCCAAAGGGGTCCCGGGGCTATAGCTAGAACCATTTGAGCAATGGTAACACTGAATTATAACCCAGGGACTAACACAAATGTTCATGAGTCCACACAAGTATAAATAAAAATTAATAAAGTAGGTGAGGACAGTTCTTCTGAAAGATGAATTCCAACTATGAAGAACAAGTCACCCGTGATGATCACAACCTGTCAAGGGATGTGTGACACTGTGGGTGACAGCGAGGACAAACAGGCTTCATGTTCTCCTTAGCACTCCCAGACACAGACTCCTTCCTACAAAAGGAAAACCCCAGCTCTGCCACAGAGAAACCGGGCCACTCCACCACATGACCAAGAGAAATGTCACTTATCACCAGGCATTTCCACACCAGGAACTCTCTGAGATGATGTGCTGAAAGAACACGTCACTTACATGTTTCCTTGCCAAGATGTAACCTCAGTCTAAGGACAAAACAACACCAGACGAACCTGGAGGAGAATGCCACAAAATACCCAACGAGCACGCATGGAAACGTCCCATCCATGGAAAAGCCAGGAAGGTCCAAGGCACTGTCACAGATAGGGCAAGCACAGAGGACACATGACAACTTGGGGACAGGACTAGGGGCTGCATTCTGAAATGGGGTTTCCTTGAAAAAAGCCTGCATGAGGCCGGGAACTAGGTCCTAAAAGTAGAGCCGAGCTCTTCTGGGCTGCTCTGCTACCTGTGTCGGTCCAGAGTCCAGGGAGAGCTCAGCAGGGCTGCTGGTGACCCCACTGAGGTCACATGTCACTCCAGCCACACAGTCCTGGAAGTCCTGGAGGAACCCAATGGTCTCCATGCCCTATGACTGGTGAAACTAGTAAGGCCCCCAAGGACCTCAGAATGTCGAGCTATCTCAAACTGCCTGGTAACTGGAGGAAGCGGATCTGCTCCCAAGGCCCTCCTGCTTCTGTGGAGACAGAACAGAGTTGGAGAAAGTGACGCTTCCCACTCCCTTCCTGCTTCACTGGATCTGAAGGAATGACTTCTCCCAGCATGATCTCGACCTAGTGACTCTGAGCTCTGGCTCTGTGTCTCTGAGGGAAACAAAGGTGACTGAAGATTTGTGCAATCCCAGTGCCCCTTGACCAGACAGCCTCTCCCATGCAGGTCAGGTGGAGGACAGCATGCTGTCACTGGTGGCATAGTGACATTACACAATCTGTCAGGGCTCCCAAGATCCACTGGGCACAGATGGGCCCTGAGGTGGAGGTGGCACAGCCAAGGCACACAAAGTTCTGAACGTAATTTCACCACAGAGCTAAAGCCACGCTGTCATACAACAGCAGGGTGATTTTTAAAATCATCCTTTGAGAAATAGCTCCCCTGTAGTGTCCTAAGAAATCTGGAAGGCTTCAAGGAAGAGACAAAGAAATCTTGTTCTAGAACAAGACTCAAAACCATAAACAGTATCAAAAATTGCCATGTGTAGTAGAACACACATATGACCCTAGCCTACTCAGGAGGCTGAGGCAGGAGGATCACTATGAGTTTAAAGCCAGCCTCGACTACATAGTAAGTTCAAGGCCAGCCTGAACTACACAGTGAAACCCTGTCTCAAAAACAACACACACACACAACCTAGAAATCATTCTACCTTCAAAATGATGTAAGACATATAAATGTAATACATGAATGGTCTAAAATCATATTTCCTTCCAAAAGGGTGAGATTTGTAATTAGAAGCGTTAGAGAGTCGTGTTCAGTTCTAGCCCAGCCCAGGTGCCAGAGCCCTGGGGCATCTAAGGACAGAGCTGGGACTCTGAGGGGAGTTTTATTTGCAAATGCAAATAAAAATTATTCCCAAGCATCTACTGGACTCAGGTGCTGCATGACAAAGAGGTCTTACTGGCTAAAGGACTAGGACTGGTTTCCTATGGATTCTTGGTGCTGGGTGGGCTCTGCGCAGGTGCCTATGCACATGCGCTCTTGCTGCCTCCCCTAAGGAAAACAGATTCAGCACTACGAGGCCTGAGCAAGACTCTTCAGATGGTCCGCACCTCCAAGACACCAGGTCAGGACTGCTACCCACGCAGAGGTGCCCCACACCCGCCTGGCGGGGTTAACCACGTCCCAGCCTTGTGCTGTTGAGGCTGCAGCACAGTTTCCGTAGTGGGTGGGCACTCAGCTCACACGTGAGACAAGCGTGCAGGGGCTCGGCCCCAGCACCCACGGGTGCTAGAGCAGGTTGCCTGGCACCCTGCTAGTGCAGGAGGGCGGAGAGCGAGGAGAGAGCTCAAAGACGCCCTGAGGATGAGCTCTGATGCCCTTCACCTGTCTCCGGTGGGTGGCGTGGGACTGGTTTTGGATCTGTGTACCCTGTGTCCCAGGATTTCGGCCTTGTGCTAAGGTCAGGTCCCCTCAGTCACCCCCCCATTCCAGCCAATATGAAGCACAGAGTCCCAAGTCGCCCTGCAGCGTGACTCATGTGGTACAAGCGCGTTGAGCTTTGTGGGGTGCCAGGTCCCCGAGAAAGCACCCAGAAGACGGGAGGTTCTGCCTGCCCCGCACCCCTGCCCTGGGAAGCACAGGCATCTTCTCTGGCTCTGCCTCCTGAGTCGGCAGCAGCCCCAGGGAGAACATGACACGAACTGAGAGGGCCTCAGAAGGCCGGGAACCTGCGTACAGGCAGTGAGGTCCACTTCTGCACCCCTGCTGCCATTCAGCACAGCATACCCCGCCCCACAGCACTGGCCACCCAGAGAACTGATACTTCTCCTGGGTCAGGGTGACTCGGGACATGGACTTCGAGCAGGAACACAGGGGAAAGCTGTTAACACAGCCTCAGCACACGGCCTCTGACTTCTCTCTGGACATCACCGCAGCAGCGACCTGCCGAAGATGGCTTGCATGGGGGGCCATGTACCTGACCTTTTCACCTGTGGGCCTAAGCCCCGCGTGGGGCTCCCACATGGAGAGCTCGACAGCAAGCATGGGCCTCAGCTGCTGCCGACCCCATCTGCACAAGAGCCCACATATGCCATGGCCAGGCATGCAGTGGGCGCCAGCATCTGTGTGCCCTTCAAACTTGATCTGACCTGTGCTCACCAGACAGTGTCAACACTTATTCAGAAACTGAGTTTATGCTTTTCATAGAAATGGTTACCCTCAATTTTCTACACATCTTTGAAGGCATTTATTTCACTTTTTTTTTCTGAGACAGGGCCTTGCTATGTAGTGCCGGATGCCCTTGAATACATCATATAGCCCAGCAGTCCTCAAATTCATGGGGATCTTCCTGCCTCAGCCTCCTGAGTGCTGGGATTACAGGCATGTGTCACCATACCTGGCTATGTCACATTTTTAAAGGAAACTCTGTGGACAAAAAATTCAAATGATTTGTATTTTTCTCCACATTGCTTTCAAACTCACAAAAAGATCTTTACACAAGCACAGAAGAAATGGACTGCAGGTACTCGTCTCTGCCCTACACCCAAATAAAAGGTCACTTCACAAACATAGTTTAGCTTTCAAAAAATTTGGCTAACCATAAAAACCATAAAATTTTTGAATAACTTTTATACCTCAACTACTACAGTGAGACACAAAGAGAAACCAAATACTTTTTTTTTAGACAGGGTCTCACTCTGTAGTTTGGACTGCCCTTGGACTCGAAGTGATCTGCCCATCTCAGCCTCCCAGGTGTGGGGATTAAAGGCATATGACACCAAGCCTCGCCATATACATTACTTTGAACTCTTTTTTTTTAAAATTCTGTTTAAAGCAACTTCAGTTTCTCTCCCAGCTAGAAAGCTGTGACTTGTTAAATACCAACAAAAGGAAGAGGTAGAGACTAGCACAGAGCCACGGGAGAGGCGGGTAGCCCAGGACGTAAAGTCTGTCCAGCGCACTGCAGCACTGCACTGTCCAGGGCCGGAGCCGGGCATGCAGCAGCACTCAAAGGAACTGCACACCTGCTGGGACAGGCCAGGCACTCACCAGGAGACCCGGAGGGGCCTTGCCGTGGTAACCACGTCCGCTTTGGCTGACGGCGCTCTCCTCTTCACTGTCATCATCTAAGTAAAACATCTTAGGGTGGCAGCGGCCCGTGAAGCATGTCTCCTCCCCGAGCCCAAGGGGCCCTCAAAACGGAAAGTGCTCTGCTGACAGCTGAGCACTGCTCTTAGCAGATGCTGGGACAGAGGTAAACTGAAAGGAAATGGTTCAAGAAAAAAAGCAATGCACACACAACTTCACCAGTGCGATTTGCTCAGAGCACCCAACCCCTGCTCTGAGGAGATAAGCATGGCCTGGGACACCCAGCTGTATTTTTACACAGATAGGCTCCTGGTCCCGCCCAATCACAGGACAGCCACTGCTGCTTCCATCACAGGACAGGGATTGAGTTAATGATTCCCCAAAGCAATCACATTCTCACTTTCAGAAATCACAACAGCTTTACTTATGGAAAGGCAATCACACGTGATCCTATCTCTTCTGGGGGCCAGGGCTTTCCCAGAGCCAGCCAGGGAGCCCAGCTCCTGGCTATCTTCACTGCATCACACGGGCATGACCCAGTCTTTTTCAGGACTCTGAGACCAGGGTGCTCAGCACTGTAAATAACAAACATCGCTGACTGTGCCTCCAGAGTATGACAGTGCACATCACCAATAGCCCTGGAGTGCCTCGCATGTCACCCTCAAGTAGCTTTAGCTCAATTCTTTCAATAGCCTGGAACATGCAGCACACAGACAAGCTGTCTCACATGTTCACATTAAATCTGCTTTACTCAAGCCATCTTCCAGCACTGCCTGTTCACCACAGCCGCCGCCAACCATGGGCGGTCGTGTACCTCTGCGCACCAACTGCTTGGTGCTCCAGGTGAAGTTGGCCTCTGAATTTGCAGATTAGGGTGAAAAAAGGTGAAATAACTCAAACATTTTTATATACAACACCTTTTAAATGATCACATTTTTATACCGCCGTGTTAAACCAGATATTACAGTTTCCCCCTATTCTTTTCACTTGACCACTGGCGCACACCTGGCGCTGCTCCAGGGCCAGAGATCCTGTGATGGGCAGGAAGAGACAAGGACAAGGACACCAGGCTGCCTATCGGGTGGGGGACAGGGCCCAGCACCACCCACAGGGTACAGTGAAGCCCTCTTCTACCTCCAAATTCCATAAACAGACCAGATTCCAAATGTCTGGCCAAGTAAGGGGGTGGAGTGTTTGATACAGCAGCACAACACCAAACCACAGAGCAAAATGATTCTGAGTGGCAGAGTTAAGACCTAATTTAATCCCTTAGAAACAGGAGAGATTGTCTTGCAGCTGACACAGGTTCCCACTCGCTGAGCCACCTGACGGGCAGGGGCAGGGTGGGGTTGGCGCCCAGCCACGCAGCCCTCTGGCCTCCTCCACCACTGCAGCGGGGTCCCTGGTGTCAGCATCCCAAAAACCTTACAGTGAGTACTGCATGTGGGGAAAAGTGGAGCAGGAAATGAGGAGGTCAAGGCAAGGATGCAACGGGCAAGACCAACACCCTGCGGAATGAATCGAGGGAAAAGGAGACATTGGAACCTGTGCAGAGATGTGAGGCTCGTGCACGTGGCAGGCAGGAGGGCGAGCAACTGTGGGAGGGGCCAGGTGGGAAAGAGAAAGAAAAGTCTTATCTTAACCTACTGCAAATGGAAGGAAACTGAGGCACAGAGGGCAGGCCAGCAGGTGGGTGACATGTCACCCACTTAGTTGGCAGAGTCCTCCCAATATCTGGCTCAGCCGCAACCCCAGGAGGACATGCCAGGCACAGGGGAGGCAGCTGACAGGAATCAGGAGGGGCGGCAGCCCAGGGGCAGAGGGCTGGTCCACTTGTGGCCCCAGCAGCCCCTGGGCCTCCTGCCTGTGTGGCCTTGGGTCATGGACGATGATTCACAGAACGCTGTGCCCGCAGGAACATGCATCTTGGACCATGAGAGGTGAGCTCATCGCCCAGGCGTCACTGTCACCACCAGGCACACCTACGGCCTCTGTGCTGACCCAGCAGAGACCTGACCTCCAGCCGGGACCCAGTGTTCCGTACCAGCCCCACCTGCGTGGCACTTGCCAGTTGATCGATGTTAAAGCCACAAACAACTTCAAAGGAAGGTATCATCGGACTTCTCTCCAGGCTAAAGTGAAAGTAACAGGCTAAATTTAACTGGAAAAAACCTTTTACTTGGTAAAGCAACTTCAATGATTTTTCTTTTTAAAGGTGAGCTGAAGGCTATCTTTTCTAAGTCATGAATTTTTCAAAATATTCTATCTTAGAGAAACAAGACCAAAAAGCCAGGATTACCACTTACTCAGATCCACAAGTGATAACAACTCTAAGTAAAATGCAGACCTTCCTGTTTGCTTTCCCCACTACCGATCCCTGAAGCACAGAAGATGAAGCTGAAAGAATTGTTAAGTGTAAGGAGCTGCTCAGAACTTCACTACCTGAAATTTCCTTATTTGAAGGTGTGCCGAGTTAGCTCAACAGAGATGTGTTTACCCTGCCACCTGTTACCATTTGTGATAGAACACAAAAACAACCGCCCTCCCCCTAGTGGCCACATCATGGAATAGCAACACCGCCTCCATTACCAACGAAGGTGACACATTTTTAATCACTAGTAAAAAAATCATGGCAAAAATATTTTTAAGGCCTCAGTTACAAGCAACTTCATAATCTCTACCATAAGCATCCCACAGTGGAGAAATTAACTCAGGGACAGTTCTGCATTTTTATGACCAAGGGACTTGCCTGAAAAAGGACCACAAAATTGACACAAATTTTCTTTGAATTAACAGTCACACAGTTCCCTAAGTGCTGAAATACACTATGTGTATCTTTCTGTAACTATGAAAACAGCCCCAAAGGGACCCATAGCCAGACAGGGACTGGCAGGGAAAGCCCTGTCCCTGCCCCCGGAGGGGTGACCGGTCACCAGTTGACGGTGGTATGTCCCGCCCAGGGCCTGGCACTGCACAACGTGCTCACGGTGCCCCAGGCCGGCCCACTGATCTGCGCATCGGTGGCCACACAGGAACGGAGAGGGAAGACAGGATGTCTTCTGAGGTCAGAGGACACAAACCTCAGGGAAGACTCCTTATTCACCTTTGGTGATAGGTCCATGTTTCAACCTGACAACAGTGACTGGCCAAAGTTTCCTTCTATCAAATTAAAGGGTTCATAGATCACATTTCTGGCTTAGGACACCCTTAGAAAACAGGCTGCACACTCTGGGTTAGGGAGCCTAGGCCAAGCACATTTCCAAGGTCTGATCCCATTGACGTGACTGTTTTATTTTATTATTATTTTTTGTGCCAGGGATCAAACTCACGACCTTGTGCTTGTGAAGCAGGCCCTTGCACCACTAAGCTAAGTCCCCAGCCCAATGCAACTGTTTTAGACTAAGCTTCCCCTTAGTCTGTCAGGACGAGACAGGCAAGACTGAGCCGGGCACCCACAAGCACTGAGGTTCACACAGCCAACACCAGCAGAAAGTAGCCCTGCTCAGGCAGAGCTGCTGGGCCTGGGTTGCTTTGCTGGGGACCTGTTAACTCTGAGACCGTCCTGTGTCAATGCCCATGGTCCCCTGCTTCTTCTCTGAATGAGCAGCCTGCAGGTGATGCACAGGAGCGACAGGCTAAGAGCACTAGCTGCAGCTCTGTCACCTTATTTCATTTAAAATCACGTAGTCCTGCTACACCAAGTCCACTGCTGTCCAACAACACAGTAATTGGAGTGTGGCACTTTCCTCTCTCTAGAAATAAATTACATGCCATTAATGCCGAGTAAGGGCCCCCTCCGCATCTCGACAGAGGCCTGGGACTGGGCACAGGGGGCCTCTTCCTATTCACGTCAGAAACCAGCTGAGGGAAGCTGGCCTGGGAAACCAGAAGAACGAGAGCTTGTCCTTCCGCTGACAGAATTCAAAGAAAGCGGAACAGTAACCATCACAAATCACATCACGGGACAGCTTCCTTGGGGATCCAGCCTGTTGGCTGCTAGTGCCACACTGCTGTTAGTGCCAAGCCTTCTGCCTGCTGGGTGGACAATCCGTCCCTGACCACTTGAAACACTGGAGACGGCTGCAGTGTTTGGGGACCATGACTTCTTCCACCTCTTCCCAACAATACCTAAAATTTGCATTTTAAAATACTGGTCATTAGCTAGGACTCTCCTTCCTGCTCCTGAGGTGGTACAAAATCCACCACTGTACATGGAAACCAGGCACTCGGTGGTGACCTTCCGGAAGTGCGGTTCCTGGGACACATGGTAATTCACAAACAGTACTAATAAATTCTCGAGGACCCAAGAGAGAAGCCACCTGCCCACACAGCGGCTGGTGAAGCAAGAGATCCTGGTGACTGCACACACCCAGGTCTCACTGACTGCGGAGCCCAGCTCATGGCCACACTGCTGATGTCCACTTTGCCAGCCAAGCAGCCACGAGTGCTGCCGTACTCACTGTCCTGCCAGGTGGACGGATGCCAGCGTGCAGCGGACATGACCAGTCTACAGCCTGACCTGCACCCCGCAGTGAGCTCTCACTTCGATTTCTTCTCTCAAACTTCTGAGCTTCTCCACCTCTAATTGCATCCCACCGCTAACAATTGCCCAGAATGGGAAATGGTTTGTATTCTTGCACACAGGTTTACTTGTGTTCTTCAGGAAATCAGGAACACAGTGACTAATATATTCTGCAAAGGGAATAATAACTTAAGGAACTCACTTTCACAATATTTAAGAAATTCTAATGTTACATATAGGTCAGTTTCTGGTAAAATTTAAATTCTAAAAAATCTGAATTCTTAGATTATTGTTTTCAGAAGCTGAATCTACCTAATTTGATTTAAAGTTCTACCATGACACACAGAGAAGAAAGCAGTAACGTTCAGTTTTATAATCCTCGCATGCAGGATTAACACACACCCTGGGACTACACCAGTGAAGACAACCCATGCACTGTGGGTCATGCTGCTACCCTCGGGCGCCAGGCTGGCAAGGTCTAACCCTGTCCTCAGCAGCAGCGCACATGCAGCCAAGAGGCAATCCACAGGCAGCAGTACCAGAGAAAGTGCCAGGGTGACGACGCCCAATCCACATGGAAGGGAAGGGCTCCTGAAGCAGGCTGGCGAGTGAGTATAAACATCAATAGCCTTCGCAACAAACTGTCACTCAGGTTTCCACAGGTCAGTCAGTTTCTGAATATGAAATGGAGTAGGTAATTCAAGCTAAGTGTTCAAGCTAAGTGTTCAGGTGG